AAAAAAAAAAAGAACTGTCTCTAGATCTAGAATGGCTGATAGAGGACAACTTTGAGGACCAAGAATTTAAAATAGGGCCACTACTACTTTCTGGACTTCAGCCATATTTAGCTTCCTTCGCTTTATCTGGCTATACTATGTATAAACTCCGACGTCTTATTCCAGCCATCTTGGTCTCTTGACTCAGGTCCTTGGTCACTACCTTCGTCGGCAGCGAGACCCTAGCTCTTTCCTTCGGGAAATCAGAGCAATTGCCAGTGACCCAGATGAGCGATTCTTTTTCAATGTCACAGATGAGGCTGCACTGACTGATATTGTGGATGCACTAGGAGACCGGATTTTTGGCCTTGAAGGTAATGCTAATTGTGGAAAAAAGGAGGGTAGGGGGAGTGTTGGAGTGTAAGTGGGATTCTAGAGGGAGCTCAGTAGCTAAAATTGGGAACTGTCTTTCCCTGATAACACCCTAATATTTTCTCATATTCAAGGGTCCCATGGAGAAAATGAAAGCTCTTTTGGGCTGGAAATGTCTCAGATTGGTTTCTCTACACATCAGCTAGAGGTTGGACAGATTCTGACCCCTCCATGACATCTAGCCTCTGACCTTTTCATGGCTTCCTCCAACTTAAACCCCAGGGGCTTCTAAATTTTTCCTTTAACCAACCTCCATGCTAGCCTTTCACAGTTTTTCTAACTGATCACGGTGTCCTCTCAAAGATCCTCTCATTTCTAGAATGTTTTTCTGTTTGTCCTCCTTGTCTTCTCAGTGACCCATCTGGTTCTGCCCCACAGGATGGAATTCTTTTTGGGATGGTGGGGGCTTATGACTGGGGCGGCTCGGTGCTGTGGCTTGAAGAAGGTCATCACCGTTTCCCCCCACGAGCAGCCCTGGAAGACGAGTTTCCCCCTGCATTGCAGAATCATGCAGCCTACCTAGGTGAGTTGCAGGAAGCTGCAGAGGGCTGGAAAAGTAAGAGGAGGAAGCACTTTGTGAGTTTCTTTTATAGTTTCTTGCTGTTTTTCCTGGGACTTACTCTTAAGTCTTTAGGGAGGTCCGCTTCTGACTCCATCTTCTTTTCCTTTTACACACTTCTAGGTTATTCTGTTTCCTCCATGCTTTTGCGGGATGGACGTCGCCTCTTTCTCTCAGGGGCCCCTAGGTTTAGACATCGAGGAAAAGTCATCGCTTTCCAGCTTAAGAAAGATGGAACTGTGAGGGTTGCACACAGCCTCCAGGGGGAGCAGGTAGGATGTCAGGGGAAGGTGGGACCTTTGGGTACCCAGGGTCCTTCAGCCTGAAGGGGAAGAGTGAGAAGGCGAATGATGGAGGCCTGAAATGTCAGTGCTGAGTTCTGGTTGGCAGTCTGTCAGGGATGTAAAGACCAGGTTGGCAGGCTGATGAGTGTTTCTCACTGAGGTTACCTGTCACCTTCCCTTTGCTTTGAGTCACTGCCACCCACTACTCCCCAGATTGGCTCATACTTTGGCAGTGAGCTCTGCCCATTGGATACGGATGGTGATGGAACAACTGATGTCTTACTTGTGGCTGCCCCCATGTTCCTGGGACCCCAGAACAAGGAGACAGGACGTGTTTATGTGTATCAGGTGGGCCAGGTAAGACTTAGTGGGACCCACTGGGGTTTGGAGGAAAAGTAGAATGGGCGGGAGGATCGTATTTAAGGGCTTGCTAAGAGGTTGAGGCTACCAGATAAATATTTCTATCTTCTCATTTCTACCAGCCTGTGCTGATGCTCCAAGGGACACTTCAGCCGGATCCCCCACAGGACGCTCGCTTTGGCTTTGCCATGGGTGCTCTTCCTGATCTAAACCAAGATGGCTTTGGCGATGTAGCTGTGGGGGCTCCACTGGAGGATGGGCATCGGGGAGCACTGTACCTGTACCATGGCACCCAGAGTGGAGTCAGGCCCCATCCTGCCCAGGTCAGGAGTGCCCAGATACTGCAGGGGCACAGCAAAAGGAAGTGGAGGTGTGCTCTTTGCTTATCTATAGTCCCCTTGGCTTGAGAACCAAACCAAACAAGTGCTTCGACCAGCAGGCAAAAAATTGAGCTGGTAGGATAGGATACAGTGTACTGAACTAGGGACTCCTGCCTACAAGCAAAGTTCTCTTTCTTCCTTTCCTAGTAGGGTGCTAGAAAGAACCTGGCGGGAGAAATGGAAACCTTATCTGTGTGAACCTCTGCCTCAGTCCCCCCTCTTTTCCTCCCAGCGTATTGCAGCTGTGTCCATGCCACAGACCCTCAGCTACTTTGGTCGAAGTGTAGATGGCCGCCTAGATCTGGATGGAGATGATCTGGTGGATGTGGCTGTGGGTGCCCAGGGGGCAGCTGTTCTGCTAAGGTGAGGAGGCCCCGCTCAGGCAGCAGTGAGCAGCACAGCAAAGTCATCAAGAGCAAGAGCTTTGGCACTGTAAAGGCTCTGCAGTTAAGATTTGGGTTTCTGGGTCAGCTTATCCTAATTTATAGAACAACAGTTAGAGGAGTACCTTCCAGGCATGGTGGTGCATACCCGTAATCCTGGCACACAGGAAGCTGAGGCCAGCCTGGACTATATAGAGAGGTTTAGCCTGTACTGTACAGTAAGACTTTGTCACAAAAAACAAAAAACACCTGAAAAGAAAATAAAGTAATAGTATGGTACCTGCCTATAGCTTTATTGTAAGGATCAAATGAGATGAGATAATCTATGTGAAATCTGTAATACAGTTAGTACTTAGTGAATTGCACCTACTATCTGACTTCTGTCACAGAGTTCAGGGAAGGGTAACATCCGTGCATTCGGTTCTTGTTTTTTGTTTTGATCATGAAGAGGCAGATGCTGGGGTTGCCCTTCCCAAAGAACTTGCCTCTCAGTGCTCTCATTTCTTTCCTACCATCCCAGCTCCCAGCCCATCGTCCATGTGGCCCCATCACTGGATGTGACCCCACCAGCCATCAGCGTGGTGCAGAGGGACTGTAGACGGCGCAGGCAGGAGGCCGTCTGCCTGACTGCGGCCCTCTGCTTCCATGTGACCTCCCGTACTCCTGGCCACTGGGACCGCAGGTTCAGTGAGTGGCTGGAGTACCTCCCCTAGGCAACCCTGGACTCCTTGCCTGCCTTGGCCTCAGGAGCTCCCTGTGCCCTTATTCTTGCTCCCCATTCAGATATGCAGGTGACAGCATCACTGGATGAGTGGACAGCTGGGGCACGTGCAGCATTTGATGGCTCTGGCCAGAGGCTGTCTCCTGTGCGTCTCCAGCTCAGTGTGGGAAATGTCACGTGTGAGCAGCTACACTTCCATATCCTGGTGAGGAAGGGGGCTGAGGAGGAGGAGGAGGAGGAGGAGGAGGAGGAGGAGGAGGAGGAGGAGGAGGCTGGGTCAGAGAAGGAATTGCAACTAGACCAGCAAGGATGTCCAAACAGGGAATATGAGTGTCGGTCAGAAAGCTCAGCGGATTAAAGTGCCTGCTTAGACAGATGCAGGGACCAGGGTTCAGTCCCCGGCCTGCCATGCCAGCCCCGCCCCTGGGGTGCAGTGAGCCTGTGGTTGAGACTGGGTGTGGTGGCTAGCGTGTGTGTATAATCCCAGCACTAAGGAGGCTGAAAAACAGGAGGATCACTACGAGTCTGATCTGTGTAGTGAGACCCTGTAGACATTAAAAAAAAAATCAGGGAATGTAAGACAATTCAGATTTTGAGTCAGCCTAATGAGGATTTTAATCCTAGCTCTGGTATTAGCCACCATGAGCCCAGTCTCTGACTGTTTCCTTGTTTGCAAAGAGCTGGCAATACCAATATTATAGGAGCTGTACTACAATTAAATTCAGCAGTACTGATTAAATCTCAGGGCAATGCCGAGCATACAGGAAGTACTCCAGAAATGGTCACTGTAGTTGTCACCCTCTCTCATGGGCCTGGATTCCATCTCTCACTCTTGCTCCCAGTGGTCCTCATCTCTGGTTTTCCTCAGGATACGTCAGATTACCTCCGTCCAGTAGTCTTGACTGTGACCTTTGCCTTGGACAACGTGACAAAGCCAGGGCCTGTGCTGGATGAAGGTTCACCCACCTCTGTACAAAAGCTGGTTAGCAGTAGAAGCCCTGGGCTGCCCCTGAGTCCTAATACTGTGCTCCCAGCGGATTTGAGAGAAGGGGTGGGGGGAGACGTGAGAGCAGGTGAAATTTGATGTAGGTCTCTCTGATCAAAGTAGATCTACTCCAGCCAGCCATAGAGCTGCACATCTGTAATTCCAGCTCTTGGCAGGAGGATTGCCACAAGTTTGATGCCAGCCTGGGCTATATAGCGAGACCTTGTGTCAAAAAAGCAAAAAAACCCCAAAAAACAAAAAACAAAAAAAAGTAGATCCACTCTTCTCTTTTCAGTTTTGCCCAATTCCAGGACTTTCTCCTTGCTTTCTTCTCAACCCTCAACACTCAGGCCTTTCTACCTCTTCCAGGTCCCTTTCTCAAAAGATTGTGGCCCTGACAATGAATGTGTCACAGATTTGGTGCTTCAAGCCAAAATGGACATCAGAGGCTCCAGGTTGGATGGATATGAATTAGGCAAACCAGGGCGACTTGATACAGATCAGAAGGGACTTGAACTTGCTAGTGGGTGGGAGTTCATATCCAAGGAATAGAAGTGAGAATTTTGATACTCTATCAACTCCTTCTCTGTCCCTTATTCACCATTCCCAGGAAGGCCCCATTCGTGGTTCAAGGCGGCCGGCGAAAAGTGCTGGTATCTGCAACTCTGGAGAACAGGAAGGAAAATGCCTACAACACTAGCCTGAGTCTCACCTTCTCTAAAAATCTCCACCTGGCCAGCCTCATTCCTCAGGTGCCCATGAACGCGGGGGCTTGGGAGGAGGAGAGTGGAGGAGGAAGGTCAGCACATTGACTCTGGCTGCGAGGAGCTCTGGAGGGAGGCTCGGTGTTTAGAGGCTATGGGGAGGAGAACAGCTGTAGCTGCAGCTCCAGCCTCCTCCTTCCTTCCTCTGCCCTCAGAGGGACAGCCCAGTAAAGGTGGAGTGTGCAGCCCCTGCGCCTCATGGCCGGCTCTGCAGTGTGGGGCACCCTGCCTTCCAGACTGGTGCTAAGGTGAGGTGGGGCCCAGAGTGAGGAAAGAACTCTGACAGCAGGAGCTGGGGCTCAGGGGGCCCAGGAGGACAGGGAAGGACACATACAAAGGCTCCTGTGCCTCTGAGCTTGTTCTACAAGGAAGACTCTGCCATTCCCATATGTCCCCTGCCCCCAGGTGACCTTTCTGCTAGAGTTTGAGTTTAGCTGCACCACCCTCCTGAGCCAAGTCTTCGTGAGGCTGACTGCCAGCAGGTGAGAATAAATGGAACTTCCTCCAAGCCTTTATCATGGTATTAGGGGCAGGAATAGCACTGCCTTCTCTATTAGCAGAAAAGGGTATCTGAGGAGGAATTCCAACGTGTGCTTTCCCCCACTGACTCTACAGCAGTAGCCTGGAGAGGAATAAGACCCTTCAAGATAATACAGCCCAGACTTCTGCCTACATCCAATATGAGCCTCACCTCCTGTTCTCTAGGTATGGTCCAGCTCCTGACTAGGACTCAGTTCTGACCTCAGACTCATACTCTGCTTTTTCCCCCTCTCTTTCCATGTGCTTCTGTGTTCTTGGAAGAAAAAAACCCAAGGCTGCTCAATCTTCCTGTCCTTATTCCCACTCATGATGAACTTTCTCTTTTAAGCATTTTACTTTCCTGGGTAGGGTTTTCTCAGGCCCTGGGCACTGGAGCTGGGATGTAGGGATGTAGGATGTGGCCCTAGAGATTATATAACCTGTGTTATGTTCCATTTCTTTTTTTTCCATGTATTCTTCCTTCTTTATCCGTATGTTGGTCCTACTTCTGCTGATCTATATGCTGTGTACTGATCATGTGTCCCTGCATCATGATGTGCTCTGGTGTTCCCTGACTTGGTGTCCACACAGCAAGTCCACCCTGCAGCGCTATGAGGTTCATCCTTATAGAATCCTCTCACTGGGTCCTGGTCCTGAATTCAAAACCACTCTTAGGGTAAGAAGCTGGAGGGATCTCAGCATGACAGAGACATGGGACTGGGGACAAGCCACAGCTGTATGGGAAAAGGATAAGATGATCTGTCTTAGATTTTAGTGCTATCTAGTGTGAAGGGGGCAGAGGAGGAAAGGTGTTCTATCCCCCACCTCTCCCATTTCCAATCTTTTCAGGTTCAGAACCTTGGTTGCTATGTGGTCAGTGGCCTCATCATCTCAGCCCTCCTTCCTGCTGTCGCTCATGGAGGCAATTATTTTCTGTCACTGTCGCAAATCATCACCAACAATGTGAGTCTGGGTGGGGCATGTGGAACCCTGCCACTGGGGTCTGGCAGCCTCACTGCAGCTCCCTACTGCTCTCAGAGCGCCTCTTCTTGGAGGACCTTTCTTTCATGCATGGCTTCTTTGGGAAAAAAGAAAGGGGTTGTACACAGGACCACTCAGGTGTGCGCTCGCAGGGGCTGGCACTCCCCCTCTAGGAGAGTCTTTCAAGTCGGATGTTCCTCTAGGCAAGCTGCACAGTGCAGAACCTGACTGAGCCCCCGGGGCCCCCCGTGCATCCCGAGGAGCTGCAGCACACGGACAGGCTGGTAGGAAGCTTGGGTTCGCAGAGGAAGGATACGAGTAGATGTGCAGCCTTCTAAAGGTGGCATGGGGGAGGTGGACAGAGGGATCTTTCTATTCCAGCATCCTGAGCTGTCTCTCTCCTCTGACAGAATGGGAGCAATACTCGGTGTCAGGTTGTGAGGTGCCACCTGGGGCAGCTGGCAAAGGGAGCTGAGGTCTCTGTTGGACTACTGAGGCTGGTTCATAATGAATTTTTCCGAAGGGTAAGTAAGCTTTTCCCTTTTGGCTATTCTGTTTTTGCTCTTGGAACATGAACAGTTTGTAGAGGTAAACAGACCTATTTTGAAATTTTGCTTTTGGCTCTTATCAGTTAGCTGACCATGAGCAAATTATTGTATTTCTTTTTTTTTTTTTTTTTGTGGAACCGGGGATTGAACTCAGGTCCTTGCACTTGCCAGGGAAGCGCTTATTCCACTGAGCCATCTCCCCGGCCCCCAAATTATTGTAATTCTCTAAGCTTTTCCTGACCTTTACAATGTAAAAGGTACCTATTTCATAGAGTGATAAAGAATAAATGAACAGTGAGTTGGACATATGGGGAACAATCACTAAAACGTAGTTACCATCCCTGTATTATTCTCCTCTTATTCCTTGGTTCTGTAATAATAATAGTCAATTTATATTTATAAGATACCTAAATTTAACAGTGTCTCTTCCATAAAAGCTTCTGTATTTGGTAAACACTAAGGAGAATATCCCCAATAGTAAGCACCCCACTGTAGGTGTATAATGCACTTTTGTTAAATGATTAAATTAAATAATAATATATGCAGAATACTTACTAGAGAATAGTGAGGAATAAGATTGTATAGTTGAGAGGAATCTAGATTATGAAAGATCTCTGGTCTAGGGTCATGAAATTGGACTTAATGTGGCTAAGCATCCAGAAGTCAGTATGAGGTCCTGGTTGGGACAGTGACATCTTAGTTATAAATAGCTACTTAGCCATATTGTGCATGCCCATAAGCTTTGAATAGCCCAAGATCCTTGTCATGTAGGCATATGTTTTAGGGAAGTTAAGTCTGACAAACTACTTTATTCTTCTTTGGTACTTTTTTCATTCATTTATTCTTTTAACAAAGATTTATTAAGAAATCACTACTTACTTGCACTGTGCCAAGCACTGATGACACAAATAGTAGTAAAACACAGACATTAAGTTTCAAGGCTCTTACAGTTAAGTAGCAAAAGATAGAGAAACTAGATATGTTAGGTTCAAGGGCATAGTGCTACGGCCAGTGGAGCTCTAGTGAGGATGCTGTTGGCTGAATTACATATATGTCTGGTCTTTTTCTTTTTTCTAATAAAGTGACCAAGACTCAGTCATAGGGTCTCCATCCTAATGACTTTATCTGATCCTAATCACTACCCAAAGACCCCACCTGAACACCATGCTTGGATGAAATTTCTACCCTTTTCTCACAATGGAGATGAAATTTCAATACTTGAAGCCTTTGATGACACTCAAGCCCTATCCAAACAATGTACCAGAATTGATGGCAGTTAGTAGGAAGCACTTTCCTAATTCCCAGAGTGGTAAACTTCAATGTAAAGAGAGATGGAAGCCAGGTACGGTGGCACACACCTGTAATTCTAGCTACTTAGGAGGCTGAGGGAAAGGAATTACAAGGGTAAAGGCTGGCCTAGTTAACTTACCAAGACTGTCTCAAAGTAAAAAGATCTGGTGATATAATTCAGCACTTTCTGGGTACTGCAGGGGAAGAAAAAAGAAGGGTAGAGGTTAGCCAGAGGAAAGGAGAGTGGAATGTATCTTAAGTAAACAGTGTATTTGAAAGACCAGAGACCCAAATCCAGGGGTCTTTCAGATTTATAAATTTACATTTATATTAATCATTAAAATAGCATATTTCTGTTATCTCAAAAAAAGAAAGAAAGACAGACCAGAGATTTTCAACCAACTACCCATAATCCTCTTTTCCCAGTGGTCTTCAACCTTTTCTTCTGATCTTGAAAATCCTGGAAGTTGTGCCACTTAGCCTGAATTTTAGTGTTGGGGTTCCAAGCGCATGTGCTCATGCACACACACACACACACACACACACACACACACACACACACACACATCAGACCCCATTTGATTAGTGGCTTATTTTAAACGTCTTCCCATCCACCTGCTCTACAGGCCAAGTTCAAGTCTCTGTCAGTGGTCAGCACCTTTGAGCTGGGAGCTGAGGAGCACAGCGTCCTACAGCTGACTGAAGCTTCCCGCTGGAGTGAGGTAGGGCTGGAGCTGAGTGTGAGAGCTGTGAAAATAATGGCATGGGATGTGGTAAGGATACTCATGGGTTTTTCCCGAAACAAACGCTTCTCCTTAGGCAGTAGTTGGTGAGTTAGAAGTATTCGATGAAAATGTGAGAGTTTCACTGTCTCCATTCCTACTTCAGTTTCCTTTGATTAGAAAGAGGTCCTTGATTCTCTTTGGGGGCTGGCTTTGCTGTAACATATGTGAAGCTGGCTGGGTTAAAGAGCAATATGAAGAAACAGCTCCTCTCCCCACAGAGCCTCCTGGAGGTCATTCAGACCCACCCTATCTTCATCTCCCTGTGGATCCTCATTGGGAGTGTCCTGGGTGGGCTGCTCCTGCTTGCTCTTCTTGTCTTCTGCTTGTGGAAGGTAAGCACTGCTTCAGTGGAAGGAGGGGGCACTGTGCCAACTAATCAGGATTTTTTTTTTTTTTGGCAGTGCTGGGTATCAAACTGAGGGCCTCATACGTGCTAGTCAAGAAGTCTGCCTCAGAGCCACATCCCCAGCCCAAGGGATCCTTGATTAGAACAAGGAGAGCTACTTCATGTTGGGTAGTTAAGCAGGCTGAGGGTATTATGCCCAGATCTCCTTCACTGTACTCCACAAATGCTGGTTGAATTAAACTAAGCCAAATAAAATAAATTTGAGTCCTATTTTGGAATCAGAATAAAAGTGAAGACCTCACATAGGTCTAAGGTCTATTGGCAAGGTCCCCAGTCTGGGCATCTGGCAGTGACTCTTATCTCTTCCTCTATAGCTTGGCTTCTTTACCCGTAAGAAAATCCCCAAGGAAGAAAAAAGAGAAGTCGGAGGAATGAATGCAGAATAAGGCTCTAGAAAGTCCTCCCTGGCAGCTTCTTCAAGAGACTTGTGTCAGAGCAGAGGTTTGAGGGCCCAGTGGGATCAAGAAGCCTTCTCTGGACTGTTTCCTCAGACTCACAGCCTGACTGGACTTTTGAGTTGTGGGGATGCTGCTGGCAAGAGATGGGGCTTTACCTCAGACAAGAAGGGCTGGCACTGAAATCAGTAACGTTCACACCCCGTGCATGATCCTGCTTCTACAGTCAACACTGGGGTCTTTGGTGACCCCTGTTTTCCCTATCCCCAGGAATCAAAAGAATTTTTTGTTTGGGTCCCTGACTCATCTTCGACTCCCTCTTTGTCCTTCCTTGGAATTTGCAAAGGATGAAGGTTATCCTCCTCCATTCTACACCAACTCTCACCTTCCTGCCTGCTCCCCGCTCCACAGGAGGGAGCTGACGTTGGCTTGAAAGAAGTAAAGTCAACATCTGCTGCTTTCCTGTGAAGCTTAGTGATTCATAGAGCTGGATGGGTAGAGTCAACAGGAAAAAGGAGGGAGGAGGAAAAGCCACAAGAGACATTCTGTACAATTCCAAGGAACAGAGAAGCCTTTAGACAGGCAACTGCCATCCCCTCTGAAACCCGAGACAGTTGCCCTCCCTCAGGTGCTAGGGAAACAGAGCTGCCCCCAGGCTTCCTGGGCAAGAGCTTCCCAACCCTCAGCCCTCCTTGGGAGCAAAACCAGGGCCCGGTGCCTGATTTTTTGGACCCAGGGGCCCTCGGGTGGCTAAAGCTGGAATGGCAGAGAAGACTAGGCCATGTTTTCTCTACTCTCAGATCTTACTCTTCAGCCCTCAGTGGGCCCGCCTTATGAAAAGGAGAGAGAAGGGAAAGGATTGCTCTTTTAGCGTGGAAAATCCTTCCATCTTCCCAGATTTGGGAAGCAGCAGCCACATGCAATCCAAACAAGTGGGACAAGGCTATAATCCCAGCACTCAGTGAGACCCTGTCTCAGAAAGATAAGTGGGACTGCATTAGAAAGAGGAAGTGGGTGGCATCAGGTCCTTGGTGAACAAGGCTTTACCTGCTCAGCATTGGTTGTATAGCACAAATAACTCCTAGGAAAATATTTCTGGGGCAACTCTGATCATATTTTGTGGGATGTCTCTGTTGGAATTAGTTTGGTAGCCCTTGCTTGATATTTACTGGAAATCACTAAGATAATTTCTATCTCTAAAGTATCCTACCCTCATCCCATGTTATGGTCCTGGCTAGAAAAGACAGGTGGATTCTAACAGACATCTTAAAACTTATGTTTCTTTGTAATCAAGACTTTGGGTGCAAAATCAGTTACTGATCTCCAGAGTGCAACTTTGACAGCCAGATGAAGGATCAGCTCCCATTTCTACCTAACAAGAGACAACTGGGCAGTTCACCAGCAGCCACAAAACCTGTCCTCCCAGGCTGTTCTTGAGGCCTAGCCACAGTGTTTCTTTTGGCATGTCTCTGGCCTTCTGAAGAGGACCACCCTCCTGAGCATTGTCTCTGTTTCCAAGCACTGTGGATAATATGTCAGATGATCAGAATAAATAAAGGTCAGTGTGAAATACTTCTGGCTCTCTTTGAGTTCCTGAGGATGTAGCCTGCTCAGGGATGGGAAGAAGTAAATTCATGGCTTACGCAAGACATTACCTAATGGAGTAACTGGAAGGCAAAGCTATGAAGTCTTCTGAATATTTGCTGTGACTCTCCCACCAGAGATGTGCTCTGACCTCTTGAGCAATCATAGAGTGTAAACTGTAGTTTTGAGGAGCACAAAGGTCTAAGTGGAAATCTCAAGTCTGCTGTTCATTATCTATCTGGTCCTGAGCAAGTCATAACATCCTGGAGGCACAGATAACAATAACTACTGTGGTTAAGGAACAAGACAGCTTTGAGTTTAAATCTAGGCCATACCACCTTGAACTCGGACAGATTTAACTTCTCAAAGTGTCAGCTATCTTTTTTTAAAAAAAATTTGTGTGTGTGTGTGTGTGTGTGTGTGTGTGTGTGGTGTGGCCAGCTCAGCCTACCAGGCGGTGGGGCTGGCTGGCATGTGGTGCTGGGGGATGCTAAGCTTGTTCTAACTAGGTGCTTTAGACCACTGAGCCATCTTACCAGCCCAGTGTCAGCTATCTTGTCTTTAAACTTATTACTGCTAGGGCTGGCCAGAAAGCTCAGTGGACTAAAGCACCTGCTTAGGCAGATGCAGGGACTGGGGTTCGATTCCTGGTGTGCCATGTGGGCCCCGCCCCCAGGGCACGCTGAGACTGTGAATGAGACTGGGCATGGGCATGCCTGTAATCCCAGCACTTGGGAGGCTGAAAACCTGAGGATCACTATGATTCTGAGCTGTGTAGTGAGACCCTGTAGACCCTGTACTAGATACATAAAAGAAAAAAAAAGTTATTACTGTTGTGAAGACTAAATGAGATAATCCAAGAAATAAGCATATAGTAAGTGCTCAATAAATAGTAATTGAAATATTTGATTATAAAATAATCTACCTTACTATGTTTTGTGAAGATTAAGTGAGAAGAACACCCAGGTGTTATTCTTGGTGATCCATCTCCCTGACCCTAAAGGTTTGTTTCTTCTGATTTTGTCTCCTTCCGCTGTACCTTATCCTATGCTCCATCTCCTTTAACATATACTCTTGTGCCCTCGAAGGTGATACTTGACTAAGAATTTTTTTCTATCTCTTCAGATCCCCAGATGTCTTCCGGGCTCCTTTCGTGACACCCAGGGTTCCAGTATCTCTGAGGAGGAACACGCACACTTAATCAATGCTGTTCTAGACCATGTGTGTCTACACCTCTTGCTCAGTCCTGAGATCACGGCCTGTCCGGGGTGTTAGGCACAGAAGGCTTTCTGCAGCAAGCTAGTGGAGTTGCTTTGTGATAGGGAAGTGTCTGTGTTGCCCGTCCTTGCACTTCATGTAGACTAACTTGATCAACCTTGTGTAGCATTCTGTGCCTGGAGTTGGAATTGAAAATGTACTTATGCTGTGACTTCCCGTACTACTTCACTCCCAGTCAACCTCTAAAGGGAGACAGGTTTTCTTAAGGACTGGTTCATCTAATTCTGTATTCATGTGATTAATTTTTTTCCACTTGAAGATCTGTCTCCTATCCATTCTTAGCTCCTGAGTAGGGCTTTTTCCAACCCAGCCTATTCTTTAATAAGCTTGTTGTCCTTTCCTTTGGAGTAATACTAGGTAGAGTAGCAACTGTGGAAACAACAGCTTCTCTCCATACCCTAGAGTTCCTTTCTTCTTGTTGCTTGTTTCTTCTTTCATTGTTTCCTTCCATCTTTCATCAGATGTTAAGCACCTAAGATTTGCAAGAAATGAGAATATGAACTATAACTGCTAACATCAAACTAGGGGCCAGGGAGATGGCTCAGTTTAATAAGCGCTTCCCTGGCAAGCGCACGGGCCTGAGTTCAATCCCCGGTTCCGCAAAAAAAAAAAAAAGCCTAGCCTAGAAGAAGAGACAATAAAGCAATTATGGCAAAGATAAAGAGATGGTTGCTATATAATATACCAGTAAATACTAGGAGTATGTTGCCCCTTTTGGGGGGCAGAGTGGCAGGTTTTTTTTTTTTTTTTTTTTGGTGGAACCGGGGATTGAACTCAGGCCCTTGCGCTTGCCAGGGAAGCACTTTTTCCACTGAGCCATCTCCCCGGCCCCCAAGTAAGCTATTTTAGTTAAATATCTTTTTTTTTTTTTGCAGAACCAGGGATTGAACTCAGGCCCTTGTGCTTGCCAGGGAAGCGCTTATTCCACTGAGCCATTTCCTCAGCCCCATGGCAGGGTTTTAAGGGGAAATTTTACAGAAAAATCCGAAACTTTACTTTGTGCTCCAACAAGTGTGAGAGGAGGCTTTCTAGGGAGACTGAAGAATCATCAGTCGCAAAGGACGTTGTAGTGGTACAGCAGTTTGATCCTGGGCTCTTCTCTGAAAGTAACTAGAGATGAGACTGAGAAAGAAGGCAGGGCCCTGTTCCTGCAGAGCCTTGAACTTTGGGCTTCATCCTGTAGGTTTTCATGTGCATGTTAATGCACTACAGGGGCTGCAAAGGAAAAGGAGAGATGGGAAGACCAGTTGGCTGGGGCAGTTCAAGCGCGAATTACTGAGACTTTAAACTGAAAGGGAAGTGAAAATAGGGAAGATAGTATTTGGGTTTTTTTCTACACCCTCCCTCAACCGAGGGCTAAACCCAAGTTATGTGTGCTGAGCTACATCCCAAGCCTTCATCCACTGGTCCATCAACTGACTGATTGGCTTTTAGAATCTTGATAAATAAATCGCCCAGGTGGCCTTGGAATTTGTGATTCTCCTCTTTCCGTCTTTCAAATTGCTGGGATTGCTTTTACGCCCAATGTTTTTGTTTGTTTCCTGCCTAGAAGATGCTTAAAGTAAAAATTCTCACTTTTGTTTGGTACTGGACATCGATCTCAAGATCTTGCGCTTGCCAGGAGCTGTGCTGCCGAGCTATATCCTCATCTTTCTCAGCTTTTTGAGACAGGATCTTGTTTTGTAGTTCAGGCTGGTCTTGTACCAGCAGCGATCGTCCTGCCTCAGCCTCCCGAGTGCTGGGATTACAGTCGTGTGCCACAGCTCTCCTTTCCCTTTCGGTAAGAGTTTCAATCAGAAATTGGCCAAATCCCCTTTGCCTCCGGTTTTGTTCCCAGGTTGCTGCGGCAACATGGATTCCTGCTCGGTTCCCACTTAGCGTGTATGTCTCCCCTCGTTTCCAAACTGTTCTCTTTTGTGCTTGGGTTTTTGGTGAGAGTCTGGAGGAGGGGAGAAGAGGCCGAGGTAACGCGTCTGGATAAAATAATAAAACGGCATCAATGGTTAAAGGAGTCGCTGGGACCCCGGTGCTCCGGGGCGGCTGGGCGACGAGGGGCGGGGCCCACCGGCGGGGCGGGACCGGGGAGGCGTTATCGCCGTTGACCCCCGGGTTCCTTCTCGGTTGGAAGAGGTCGGGGCGGGTAGGGAGGAGTTGGCGGCGACGCAGCCGGACTGCGGGTTTTTTGCCTCCGCAGGGGCGGGATGGGGCCGGGCCAGGGGCGGAGCTCTCCGCCCGGCCCTCCAGTTCTCGCCTCTGATTGAGCGGGGCGGGCAGGGGGCGGGCCCCGGGGCCGTCTAGGTTTGACAGCTGTTTCTCACACAACCGCAGCGGAGTTCGGTGGGTCTGGGAACTGTGGCCTGGCTCTCCGCGCGTCCCCGTCCCCCCGTGGCCCTGGCCCGGCCATGAAGCGCTTCTTCTCCTGCTCCAGTTCCCAAGTGGCGGTAGGTGCCAAATGTGTGGGAGAATGCGGTTGGCGTCCAAGCCCTGTGTTGACAGAGCCCGAAGTCCCAGTCCGACACTGGCGCTTCATCTCTTCATTGGTCTCTCCAGAGCTTCTGCGCCGGCAGTGCAGCCTGCAGCCCTGCTAACTTACCTTAGTGCCGTCGTCCGTAACTTGTGCCCCAGTTTGCTTTGCCTGCCTTCCTAACTTCTACCCTCTCCAAGATCTTTTCTCTTGGTCTTACACTCTTCTGGCACGTTTTCTACAACCTTGTCCCCTCCACAAAGCCCTTTTCTCTACCGCTGCTTCTCCCCAAACCGAACCACCTACAAGCATCTGCTACTGCCCACCTCTTGGCTCCGCTCTCCCCCTCTGCCACAATAGCTGCCCCAACCTACATTTTTCAACTCTCCCCTGTGGCCCCATCCTCAATATGTCCTGTCGTCCCAAGTAATCCTAATTCTGTGCCTCTCCCTAACTTTCTACATAGTCCTCTGTCGTTGCCTCCATCCCAGCCTGTGCCACTTCCACCCCCATTCTCAAGAGCGCCACAGCTTCAAGCATCACTCCACGGCCCTTTCCACGCAGTGCTCCCTCAGCAGCATCCTTGTGTTCTCTACAACCTCGGCCCCACTTTGACCACCCAAGCCCACTTTGCTTCCTTTTGCTGGACCTCCTCCTGCCTGCTTACTATGGGTTAATCTTGCAGTCTAGCCAGCCTGACAAGCATTGCCAGAGGACGCGAGGTTGCCTGCCAAGGGACTGGGTGAGTTGTCTTCAGAATCCACCCTGCCAGTTCAGTGCAGTATCTGGTCATCAGACTGGTTCTTGGGCCAGTCAAGACTTTGTTCCTGTTTCTCTCCAGTGTTTTCCTTCATCCTGACCCTCACCCAGTTTAGGACATGTATTCTGTTTTGTATGAGTTTGGGGAAACTAATGGTGAAATTATAGGAGGATAGTGTGGGCTCATAATGAGAGTTGCCCGAAGAAGTCACTTATTCTTCATGTTTTCCCAGAAGAAAACACAAAGAAAAATGACATAAATTACAGAAGGTGGTGATATTTTGAATCTTTTCTTTTGTTTGTTTGTTTTTTGTTTTGTTTGGTAGAACCAGGGATTGAACTCAGGCCCTTGCACTTGCCAAGCAAGCGCTTATTCTACTGAGCCATCTCCCTGTCCCAGAAGGTGGTGGTATAGGAAGGGTATGTAGTTTCTCCTTTTCTAAAAATTCATCACAGAAAGATCTTCTATCTGAGGATGGAATTTTCTATGGAGATTTGGATTGTGGATTATTCAGAAATGAATTGTCCAGCTATCTGTAGTAATATTGCTCAGGTAATTCAACTTAGTGGTGCCATTTGTTGAACATGAGAATATTTAGTTCCTTCAGCATGGGCAGGACACAGAAACCTGGGAGAAAGCTGTGAGGCAAGAGTAGGAGCTCTGTCGAGGCCTGTCCTTGTCCCATTTCCATTTGCCTCTCTACTGAGTTTCTCTACACACTGATCAACTATTTAAAAGGCATTTTCTATTACAGGAACCAGAAACAGAGGCTGCTAGACACTGTCTTAACTCAGAATGCTTTTCTTATTCATGTGAATTCCTCCCTAGACCCTGAAAATCTTTAGCATTGCCCTTCCTTTCAGGCTTATGGCATCTGCCTCCTCCTCAGGAATGAGGAACTACTTCACTCTTCTCAATTCTCTCATCCTTGGGCAGTGCCTCTTTTGGAAGGTGTTTGAATGAGCAATGGGCTGAATCGTAGGATTTGTCACTGTCCCTCTGTCTTTCTTGATTCTCTGTCCCAAGTTTTGGTCATCAGGAATGTTAACCCTTTCTAAACTCTTCTTGGTGTAACGAGATCTTAGCGCAATGTGATTAAAAGAAACAAAATTGGGTAGATTTAGAATTATCTAGTAGAAAGAAAATCTATCTCTGAAGTCAGACTAAAGTTGCATAAGGCTTAAAAATAAGTCAGTTTCAGCCTCAAGGTGTTGTCTTCTGAAAGTTCCCCACTTTTCCCTTGAAAATTTTCCGTGATACTTTGGAGAGCTAACACGCAGGATCCATTTTTTTGAGAAATGGTGTGACAGCCTTCCTGGCCAGGGCTTCCCTGTCATGCTGGGAGATGGCCTCTCTGTTCCTGTTCACACCCCTGAGGCTAGAGGCAGACTCCAGTGCCCTCAGAGGAAGGTGAGGACTTAAAGATCAGTGATGGTTTCATACCACTCTCTATTATCCCTTACACAGGGATATCAACAAGCATACAAAACCCAGCTCCTACAATCTTATGTTTTAGTCAAGTAGAAGATGGGTGCTTTTCAGAATGTTTTACACAAGTCTAGACCTAGGTCAAAAGTGGAAACAGACCAGAAAAATAACATATATATATATATATATATATATATATGCAAAGGGTACTGGGACTTGAACTCAGGACCTTGTGCTTGCCAGGCAGGCATTGTGCCAATAAGCTATATCCTGGGCTCCTCTAAAAAAAATTTAGACTCTTAGTACTGGATCAGTGTAGAGAGATGTGCAGAGGGATTGCATTTGAAATGTTCAGAGTCAAGTCCGCATCCTTCCGGGGCAGGCTTTCTAGTCTCATTCAGCTGTTCTGTAGCACTCGCCATGTTCTGTCACTGTCTGTTGTGCTTGCAGGTGTGCAGCAGAGATAGAAGAGGGTATAGTTATTTCTACAAAGGCCCCTAACTTCAGCCCTAGAAAGCAAAGCTTTATCCTTGCTATTGAGTCTTCTGATTAATTTGGTGATTTCACACATGGTCCTGTGATGGTAATCTAATATTTGCTTTCCAAGGTGCTAAAGTAAGCAATCGGCTTGATTTTTTTTAAATTAGAGATTGGAACCAGAAGTAGATGACTAGGCAGATGCTCTCCCACTGAATTACAGCTCAATCCCTTTCATTTTTGAGATGAAAAGGATCTCACTAAATTGCCCAGCCTGGCCTTTAACTTTTGGGGCTCCTGCTTCTAGAGTAGCTGGACTCTTACAGGTGTGTGCCTCCATGGATCTTGGGGTTTGGAAGCATCCTTCTTGTTCTTTTTTACTTCAGCTCTTCAGAGGTTTGTCATGAAGATGTAGCACTCATTCTAAACTCTTCACATAATGAGATTATAGAGAGTAAATCAGGTGATGTAGAACTATCTAGCAGTAAGGAATATCCACATTGCCAAGAAGCAGCTTTACTACCTAAACAGCCTGACTCTTACTCATTCACTGATATGAGTAGGGTCTCTTCCTCCCATGCCGAGATGGGGAAGTTTGAGCCCAGGAATACCTCATGTGTGCCCAGCAATGCCTGGGAGGATTGAGGTTGGAACTAAGATTTATTATGCAGCTACTATGCTGCTGGTACAGAGCTAGATACTTTATATATTATTGTATCATTAGGAAACTGAGGTTCAAAAAAGGTCTTATATGCTTAATATTCACAAAGTCAGAAAGTGTTAGAATCAGGATTTTGCTGTTATTGTAGTTTTTGGAGTACTTGAAGACTGAACCCAGGGCCTCCCTTTGAGCCCTGTCCCCAGCCCTTTTTTTTTTTTTTTTTTTAACTTTTTGAGTCAGAGTCTCACTAAATTACCCAGAATGAGCTCCTACTTGCTATCCTCCTTCCTCACCCTCCCATAGTGCTGAGATTATAGGCATGCACCATCATACCCAGCTAGAATCAAGCTTTTATATGGAGAGCTTTAGGCTGAGGTCAGCCGATGGAGGCAGAGTTCCAGCTCATTCTTTGCCAACGGGAGACATGGTTCCCAAGGGACTTTGGAAAATGTGTTCCTATGTCACAGAAGCTGTGAGTATATGGAGGAGTCTTTTGCTTATTTTGTCCTCTGAGAATTATCCTGTTTGGAGACTCTTCAAACAGGGCATAGCATCTGGGGGTGGGTGGCTTTGGCCTAGAGGCGGCCTGAGACTTTACCTGGGGAAGAAGTAAACTTTTTCCATAGCTTTGTAGTATAGCGTGGTCTGGTGTGAGAATCAAGACTGGGCCTCAGGTGATCTGTATTCTAATCCCAATATTACTGCTGTTATGTGCTCTGGACAGTTAAATAAATTCAGTGTGTTTCCATTTCTTCTTCCATCAAAGAGATAAAATAATATCAAACTTACTATTTTCCAGGGATATTCAGAGCCTAATAGAAATAGTATTTGAAAGACCACGAGGAATTGCAAGTGCCTTACAGGAGTTTAACCTCAGCCTATGTCTACTCTGGATAATATTATGTTTGAAGCATTTAAATATTTCCTGTATCAATTAATAATTTGCCTCGGCTGCATAAACAGTGTTTTAATGTGAATTACTGGGCTTCCACAGACCCCATTTTTTTCATCTCCTCCTATAACCCCTTCCTTGTTGAGATTATACATCATAAAGCATAAGGTATCACCAGCAATTTTTCACTACTTCCTGTAGTTAGAAGGATGCTGTACACTTCTATAACTTTACAGTTTACAGAGAGATTTTATAGACATTTACTTATTTAATACTCATAACATGATGAGATGGTTATTATTACTCACACTTTAGAGATGAGAAAATGAGTTATAGGTGTTTAATGGCTTGCTCTAGGTCACACAGCTCAGACGATTGCTAAACCAGGTCTCCAACTCAGTCCAGCTGAGAAAATCTGCCATCCCAAAGCTATTTGCATTCATCATTCCTCTTTTTATGTCTATGACCACCACGTTTTCTGTATGTTCAATCGTAGGTTTTGGTTTTGGTTTTTTAAATCCTGGGTGTTTTTACACAGCACTGTCTTTTATGCTCTGTAATACTTCAATTACTGTAATTACTCCTCCACCCAAAAAAACTCAAACTAAAATGATAGAACAATGTACACCCCAGGTGTGGCCCTGTCTGGAACAGCTGCTCCCTGCCGGGGAAACTAGAAGGAAGGAGAGGGAGGAGGAGGGGAGCCTCTCACTGCTTCTTCAAGCATAGGTAGGGACCTGTCTTTGCTCTTTTAGTTGTTCCCATGGCAGGTGGAAAGAGACTAGCTACAGGGAATAGATAGATACAGCATAGGGGAAAAGAAACTGTGGGAATCCTCCCAGTTTTAGATCCAAAAGCCAATAGATAGAGGTGGTGTGGTTGGGTACGTGAACTCCTGTCTGTGCTCTGAAGCTAGCTGCTTGATTTACTAGCAACTAAGGACAAAGAAGTGGAGCAGCAGGGGCAGGTGGTAGTTAATGTGAGCCCAATCAGGAGTGTGCAGCTTGGTTCAGTTTGCTTCAGTAAGACTTAGAGAACAAAAGGAAAAGGAATTGTTGCTCTCCCTTTTCCTGAGTTTGGGCCCTCCCACTACTACCAATAATCCTAATGATGATAAAATACACCTGAAACACTACACACTCAACATGCATAAATTTTAATTCAGTGTCTAGGCATCTTTAGGTCCAAGGTTGGCAGTAATTAGTAATAGTTGATGGTGGCATGTTTTTTGAGACAGTATCTCACTCTGTAGCCCAGTTGGCCTTGTGGTGATCCTCCTGCCTCAGCCTCCTAAGCGCTGCGATTACAGGCATGTACCACCATGCCCAGCTAATGATGGTATGTGAACTGGTTAATATTAGCTGGCTTATCCAAGGACAAAATGCTTTGCGAAACAGACACAGCTCCTTTCCCCCCTTGTGTGGTGTCTACCTTTTCCTCTGCTTTCTCCACACCATCCTCATCCTCCATGTTCACCCAATTTGTGTCTCTGGACCAGGTGGAGAAATGGAACCGCCGTGATCAGAAGCTGCTGGAGGCAGTACAGCGGGGGGATGTGGGACGCGTGGCTGCCCTGGCCTCTAGGAAGTCTGCCCGACCCACCAAGCTAGACTCAAATGGCCAGTCCCCGTAAGTCCTCCTGACCCCATCCCTGGTATGTGTTCCTTTTGAAAACCCTAATCTCCATTATGATGTAGGACTAGAAAATGCCTGTAGGGTCCTTTTTTTTTTTTTTTTTTTTTGCGGAACCAGGGATTGAACTCAGGCCCTTGGGCTTGCCAGAGAAATTGGCAGGGCAACATCCCCTGTCATTGGTGGGATGGGAGTGAGAAGAGTCCCATTCTGTTGGTCTGTGTTGGGGCCTTTTTTTTTTTTT